TCCCTAGTCCTTGGAAAGCACAAGGAGGATTCTTGGCTTGGCCATTGAGGTAAGGAAAAGCTTTTGAGTTCTTTGGGCATTTATTCATTTGAAGTATAAGCAGCTGCACGTTAACTCCATGTTAACTATCACACAGTGACCTTCAGTGCTTTTTGTCTTTTTCCAAACTGATGCTTTTTTGAGGGAGATGCTTCATTATTTGAAGCTGCTGCGTTAGATCAGTAGTGGAGTTGGAATGACTTAAACCCAATGTTTTTCACGTTATTTGAAGTCAGATCAGAGAACGATCTATACCCTATTTGCCTGTTTGTTTCTTAAGCGAAACAGCCAAATCTCCAAATGCTGCAGATCAGTCTTCTATGACAGTCAGTTATGCCTCTGACTGCTATATCACTGAGTTCTCATAACAGCTTCTATTCATCTTCTTGCTCGCTTTGCCTGTGAACGGTGTGAGAACGGGCTGCTTTGAGGAGAGTAGGGTTTAGAAGTCTGCTTTTGATTATAAACAAAAGTAGTTCTACATGTACCTTTTTACCACTTGTTCATCAGTTGCAACTTTAAAAAATAGTTAAGTATGGTGATGAAACTTTGAACTCCCTTGTATATGAGGTGATGAAACTTTGAACTCCCTTGTATATGACTTGAAACAAATTAAATCTGTATTTCAAGTTTACTCTAGGTATGTGACTGTTACGAATATGTTCTTCTACATTGTTATACCTACATGCTGAGTTGTAAAAATAGTTGAAAGTTTACTTCTGATAGTATAATTTCCAAAATTAGAGTAAACTCGTGGTGGGGAGTTAAATAAGATGGCTGATAGCTGGCTGGGATAGAGGTGACAAAACTTAACTGGGTCAGCAAGACAGTTTTGCTGGTACTTGAGTATGCCATAGGCAAATGGGAATCCAGAGAGTAAGTGGTAATGTCTTTCAAGGCTAATGCCAAGGCTTTTAGCACCAAGGACTTGAAAGTTCCCTGTCTGTGTAAGAACAGTAAACTAATCTGAAAAATAAGGACCTTAAAGTATTAGGTCAGCACCACTTTACAACCTGTACTCCCTGTACAGCCTGTAGTGTACTGTTGTAGAACAGAAGCTGATACTGCTAGCAGTGACGTATTTGAGTTGGTGTAGACTAAAGAATAACTCTGAAACATGAATGTTAAAAAAATAATAATAATAATAATGCATGTAATGAGCCAAACTCATTTTTAATGGTATCACATTTTAATGATTCTTTAAAGCTAAAATAATTCCTAGCATAGGAAGTTCTATGCTGCAGGTTTACAGTAAAACATGGGTGTAACTTCCATGCCAGGTTCAAGACTTTGAGCCAGCAAAGAAACTATATTTTGGTGTATTCCTCACTGCAATTTTATTTTGCCTCTTTCTAAAAACTAGTGATGGACTAATCTTTCTGATCTCTTCTGCTAAGTTCCGAAGAATGAGTTCATCAGCTTCATCCTACTTTTTTCACTGACTTCCAGGACTAAAGACCTTGTCATCTCAGTTGAAAGGAATGGGGATAAAGAGTGAACTAAATGACACGTTTCCAGATTAGGCAGTTAAGTTTTACCTTTTTTAGTTTAGCCTTGGCAGAGTTCAGTCTGAATATTACAGTAAATTTTGTTACAATAATTTTATTGGCTGCATGATCCATAATAGTTTTTTTACATTATTAGTCTAACATAAGATTTGATTTGAAGCTTAGTATACACTTACTGCAGAAGCTATTACTAGCACAATGTTTTATTTCAAAATTGGTTGGCTTATCAAATTTACTCTGGAGATCTGATTTAGCCCTGGTGTATTGAAAACTGTTTTTTATATCTGCAAATTTATTTCTACAGTCCCAAGATGTGGGCATCAAGACTATCACCATGCTGGATGAACAGGGAGGTGAGTTCTTCCTTCTCCCTCAGATATTCAAATCAGTTTTATGAATATAAGAAAAAGGATTATCACTGAGGAGTTGCTGAAACTGAAGATTTAGTAAAGATATTATGTAGAACTGGGATGTGCTAATTGGATATTAAGATGTGTTTTTGTAGTATTTATAAGAGGTTTTAAAGTTGCTGAAGGAGAAACTAAGAAAAATCTTAGTTGCAGCAGATTGCAACCTCTGCTACAGAAGCCATTCCTTTCCGTGACAGCATAACTGTAGTTGTCTGTATTTATTCTAAAAGCAGCAACAGAAGCGCTGCTCTAAGGATGGGGAAGATATTTTAAAAATGATAAACAAGATTTATTCACTTAATCTTTTTCTGCAAAAAAATCCAGAAGGCAGAGACACAAAGGCGTTAGTCTTAGTATAAAGATGAAACTGAAGTTTGTAAGTCCCTGTTTGAAAGGGGTGCTGTATCCCCCCCAGTAACATCTGTGTTTACTCATGTTGCTTGTCTCTCCTCCAGAACAACTGCATCGCATAGAAGAAGGCATGGACCAGATAAATAAGGACATGAGAGAAGCTGAGAAGACGCTGACAGAGCTCAACAAGTGTTGTGGGCTCTGTGTCTGTCCTTGTAACAGGTTGGTTAAATTGACACTTGAGCATAAAATTTTAGGATGTTAGCAATAACTACTCAACTGGGAGATGGCCTACAATAAAAGAACTAAATAAAAAGCTGACTCAAAGCTGATTGTTTTGGTCTGTAGAGGTACACCCTTTCTAAAACATACGTGAGTATCTAAAGCTTACTTGCATCTAACTGTATTGTGTTGCTTACACTGTAAGTATAGCTGCTGTATAACATCTTGTGTGACTGCACCTTAATCTCCTTTATGTTTATAGTTAAAACAGTACCGATGCTTAGAGTTAGACTGCAAATAGCCATATATAAAGGCTGTCCATTAGAGATAGGACTCTGAAAATCATCTCTTCCCAAAAGTATTTTCCTAACTTACTGAAAAGCTGATTCTATTCAATGTTATAACTGCATATCATGCAAGAGAACTTACATTTTGGAGAAAGAAAGCAATATGGGTTCTCCAGGCATTAAAAAATGTTCATGCTTTAGGAGAACAGGTGCTGGTCTTAAAGCTTTAGTTTCATTAGTGACTACACACATTCTTGCAGACTTGCTTTACACTACCTTAATCTCATCAGTAACATGGTCACTATGTCCAAGTCATTTAGGACTAATCTAACGCCTGTTGTATGGCACTGGATTTGTAGTTCTAAACACTAACCTAAACAATGATCAGAAATCAGTATTCTGTTTAAAAAAAAAAAAAAAGGAAATACTGCTAGCTTTTTCTTTATGCAGCAAAGTTGATCTGTATGGATCAAATGTGATCATAGTCTTTTTATGTGAAAGAGAAATAAGTTATTTTAAGAGTGTAACCACTGAAGTGAATAGCCTTTTTTTGCCCTGTCTCATGGGGAAAAAACTTCATGATTCAACTGAGAGGTATCTGAAATTTTAGTAAAAATCCCTTGGAGGTAGCTGAGTCTACTTATTAAATAGGATATTATTAAAGAGATCACTTAGGTATGAATGTGACTTCTAAGACTGAATCTCAGCAGTTTTAATATCTTGAAACAGCAAATAGCTCTGTCTTGACCTCTGGATAGCTGTGCTCACTAGCTTTATCAGATAGATTAACTTTGAGCATTTTGACATACTCAGTCTTTGTTTTCTTTAGTTGACCATCTTGCTCCACTGAAGTTTAGAAGCTTATTGTCACTGAGCAAACTGAATTCGTGAGCTCTTGTGGTGCACTAAATACACTGATTGCAATAAAAGGCATAATGAATTGTGTACCGAAACAGGCAATGATATATATAGAAAAGTCTGTTAGAGAAGCAGAGGAGCAATAAAGAGGAAGCTGTGAACATTTCTTTTACATGTTTATATATATGTGCCACTAGTATAGAATATATACACATACACGTTTTAATCATCTGGTACAACAGGTTTTGTCAATGTCTTATTTGCCAACTGGTTATCTCCAAAGGTTTTCTTTTTTTTTTTAAAAGCCATAAGCTTGAATTGGAACATACAATGAATTAAACATTGCTCTTTTCTTTCCACCCCCCCCCCAGCTTACTGAGGTTATTGAAAGCTTTGTTGTAAAAACATAAGACGTAGGCAGTACTCTGATATCTGTTTACTAACAGCAATTTGCCTGTTTGCTGGTCTTTACTGTTCTTTCTTCTCCATTTTCTCCTAACACTGCTATTGGCTTTCTAAAAATGAAGACTAAGATAAGAAGCTGTATTCACTTAACTGGTGAAAGTGGATTTTAGCAGAAGGTCAGTCTTAGTGCAGCATGTACATGTAACCAGCTGTCTACGGTGATGCTTCTGTTGGGTATATGTTGCATGTGCATGATGTCTGCATGCAGGACTCCTTGTGACTGTGATGTGTTGTAACAGTGCTGTGAATAGAAAATGCCAGCTATTATAGAATATATTAGCTGTGGGAATCTTGACCAACTGCCTGTGCCCGTGCTGGTTTGTTGGATTGTACAAATTGAAGGTCTTATTCACTCCTAGGGAAACTAAATGGGGGGGGCAGCGTATAGAAGGGAAGGTGAATGTACTTGAAACTTGAAATACAGCTCTTAAAATCAGATTTTAAGAAGCATTGTTCTTCACCGTGCTTAGCTCGAGCACCAATTGCTGTTTCTAGTTGTCTACTTCAGATGTGAAAATAGTTTTCAGGCCACTAGTTCGGTAAATTCCTCACTGTTACCTCTAATACCTGTGACTTTCCTAATCCAAGCACAGAGAGCTCTCCTGCTGCAGCTTTAGTATCATGGGTTAAAATAAACTCAATCTAGTTGCAGCAAACCTAAAGAGCTCTTTAGGGCTGTGCATCCAGAAGTTGCTAGAATTGACTAGTTTGTTTCTTTAGAGTTTTACCATGTGTAGCCGTTCAGTTGTGAATTGAGAACCAACTTTTCCCCTGAATGCATTCAACCTAGACTATATTTTTCATAGGTCAGATCCTAGGAAAAGTAGGAGTTTCCCACTTGGGAGTGTCAGAGAAAGGAGAGGGGAATATTTCTTCATTACAACTTATTTTGCACCTCTTTAAAATACGAAACTACTTGTATATTTTCTTTCTCCTTAGGCTTTTCTGATTATGTGGTTCCTAAGCTTAATTCATTTCAGTCTTTTGTCTCCTGAATTATTTGGTAAAAATGTAACGGCCAGTTGGCTTATCGCTCTAGTGGAGTTAGTACTGTTTAACTGCAGAGTGAAAGGGTATTTAGGCATGATTACATTTATTTCATAAATGTTTCCCAGGTTTGTTTTGATACTTACATATTTCAACTTTTTAACAAGGAATACTTGGCTATAGAATATGATGGACAAAATAACAGAAACTTAATCTGAGGAAGATACTCGAAAGCACTGAAGGTTTGGATTAATGATATTGTTGTATAGCGCAACTGCTTTCATTTGGGGAAGCTTTTCCTTCATCTCCTTTTATTCCCCTGAGGCATATCTAAACCTGGCTCTAGACTAGCTCCTGTTGCAAATGCAACTTTATTTTACGATGTGTAAGCTCTCCTGATACTGTCATAAGCTTCTTTTCTTGTGAAGTCTGATACATTAGGGAAATTCCTGTGCTTGTGCTAACACTGAGATCAGATCAACTAACTGCCTCCAGAGTAATTCAGTTACGTTTGTGCTATCCTGATACAAGAAACTGTATTAATTATATGGACAAGGCTTTGTCTGTACAAAATCTTATCTCTTTAGGGCACAAGACGTGTTTCTGAAAATCTGATCCTAGATTAATGCAGGACTTCAGTCAAGAAGCCATTTTTCAGATGTAGCACGTAAGGTTTTTAATTTGTATCGAGTAGGACGAAGAACTTCGAGTCTAGCAAGGCATACAAATCAACTTGGGGAGATGGCATGGAGAACTCAGCGGATCACGTGGTATCCATGCAGCCAAGAAGTGTAAATCATCAACAGCCTCAGACTTCTGGAGGGCAAAGTGGTGGATATATTAAACGGTCTGTTTCTTCTTTTTTTTTAATTCCCAAATGCATATATCCTAAGCTACCAGTCACTAGCTTTTTTCAGATAAAGTTGCTAAATGGTAAATTTTTTAAAAATATATAGAGTCTCTGAGAATCTACTACTCCTTAGAGAAGAGATTAGAGATATCTACACTTTCAGTAGTGTAGAGTTCCTATACACGTTCATTTTTTTCCAGTGGTGGTATTTTCAGTTAGTTTGTTTCTGGATATGAGGTTTAGAGTTCAGTGCTCAGTTACTGAGGTTACTGTTAAAGCCTAGTACTTTTACTGTCGTACAGGTATACTTGAGACAAATTCATGTCTTAGGCTTTCTCTAGTAGCTTTAAATTCTAAAGCTGTTCCAGTAACAGCAGATAGCTTAGTCTGTTTTGGTGGGCTTCTTGTTTGGAGTACATGTGGGTTGTTTTTGTTTTTTACAAGGGACAAGAAATAGCTTGGCTTGAATACCATGTATGTCAAGTAACTCTGCACTGAAAAGTTTCTATTAAAGTAAATTTAGGATAGGGAGAAGCAAATTCTTGATTTATGAAAACATTTTTTCAATATTTGAATAGGATAACAAATGATGCCAGAGAAGATGAAATGGATGAAAATCTTACTCAAGTAGGAAACATTCTTGGGAATTTGAAAAATATGGCTTTGGATATGGGCAACGAGATTGATGCCCAGAATAAACAAATAGACCGGATAAATGTAAAGGTAAGGGTCAAAGGTGTTTCTGCTGCCTTAAACTTAGAGGTTGTTGCTGAGAAGTAATAGGGAACTGCTTACTGTCCTGTCTGTCTGCATTTGTAATAAGTATGCATATTAAGATCATGCCATCATCCTCTAGGTTGCAGTGACTTGAACAACAGATGTGTTGGTGTTTGGGTATGTAGCTGAAAACTCAAATGATTCTGAGTGTTAGAAATCCTCAAAATACCGCACAGGGTATTGCTTATTCTGAAAGCAACTAAATTGAATTCAATCAGAGGCAAACACTTCCTGAAGGTGAAATTATGGGATTGTTGCTCTTAGGAAATAGTCTTGTGTGAGGTGGGGAATAATTTTATTTAAGAATAGCAAGGCTCTTATGGAATTCCTAAAAAGTCTCTATGATCCTTGAACATAAAATGATACGCTGCCACAGGGAATTCTTAGCCCTCGTTCTGGTAAACAGGTTAGTGTTAGGGGTTGAAGAGTTATTGGAATGCTGGATTTTGCAGGTGTAAGGGACATGATCTGCCTTCATCTGCATAAGAAGGTAGTTAGTCCCAACCAGTAACATCCACTTTTTCATGCTTTAAAGGTTAACTTCCCTAAACAGAATAATCATATGCAAATCTGACTTGGGGGTTTTCCTTCCAGTGGGTAACTTCTGAGGAAGTTAGTCTTACTCTAAAAATTCCCATATTCTTAAAAGAATACAAGTTCTTTTAAAGACATGCTGATTAAGAAAGGAAATGAAAGCTTTAAATTGTGCTTTATGGGTTAAAAAAGCAGAAGTAGGCACCAATTGCTGTAAACTTGTGAAATGAAGACGAAAGGGAAAGTTAAAGATGTTACTGAAAAACCTAATAGGGTTAGCAGCAAGAAGGAATATTTTCAAATATATAGAGCAAGACCAGCTAGTTTGATGTGCATGCTGATCGTACCTATGTCAACATCTCAATTTCGTCTAGCAATTAAGGGGTTGGAGTATAAATAAGGTCCCAGTATTTTTAAATCTGGTGAACAGGGCAGGAAATGAATCAAGTAGTTGAGGAAAATCCCATACAGGATAGTATCATATAAAGAAAGGACAAAGAGCAGTACTAAGCTCTACTTCAGAATAGAGTTGGTGCTTTCTGTTATGAAAAAAACCTGTACAATTGGCAAATGTATAGGCTTAGTGGGTGGCTTACGGTACCGGCTTTATCTTGGAAGAGGATCTGCTAGCTAGATCTCCCAGTTGCCAAAGCGTTTAATGCATTATACTTCTTGTTTTCTAAAGCAGATTCTTGCTTCTCCTCAACTTCTCTCCCTAGCTCAGAACCAGAAAGGCAATGTACTGGAAGGAGAGAACAGGAGGAAAGGGCCTTAACTTCTTCCCAATGCACTTCACTGTGAGGGTGTGAATTGGCTAATAATTGGGATAGGTGGAGCTTCTCTTGAGTTCAGCTCATCGTGGGGAGGGCAGAGGCTATTTCTGTGCTTATTCCTCATTGCTGACTGAATAGGGAATTATTTTGAAGTTCCTTATGCCTTTCTTTAAAACTCTATCTTGACACTTGCTCAGGTAGATGCAGCAGCTGAGTTTTGGTGCTGTAGTAACAGTAAAACAATTATAAAAACAAAGTGTGGTCCTTACAGATACCATAATATTGTGACACTGGTACCTAAGTGGGGTGAGAACTAGAGATTTGCGCTATGTAAAACAATTCTAACTTTAGTCAGAACTTTCAGTTTCAGTTGTGATTATTATTTTTTGGTCCATAGTATTGAAGCTGTTGTAGAGGTTCTTAAAATTCCTTGGAGAGAGGGGGAAGCATCTTTGGGGAATGTTTATTCCCTTGTTCTGTTAATGCTCTTCCTGACTTGCTGAAGCAAGCTATATGTTTTGAAGGTTAGCAAAAGACTACAGTTATTTCTTCTGATGGTTGTTTCTGCCAAAACTTCTAGCCCCTGGCTAAAAAAAAAAAACATTACTTCCAGCTTATAAAACTTGGCTCCCTTCTGTCTACCATAATGATAATGCCCTGTGATTCAGAGGTCCAGGTTGATTTGAATTTTCAAATTTTGTATCTAATCTGTCAATGACATATGGTTTTTTGTTTCCTTCTTTAGGCAGAAACAAACAAGGATCGCATTGAGCAAGCCAACATCAGAGCCAAGAAACTCATTGACAATTAAAGCCTGCTGCCATTGTTCAGTGACACTGTCTCTCCAGCTGCAAACCACCATATTCATGGATCTGTGAAACTCTTCTATTCTAAAATAAGAGGGGCTGAGAAATATGAAGCAGTACCCTTTCTATAGGGTGTGGGTTTATTTTATTGCTTCATGTAGACTTGGCCTTGACTCCAAGAAAGCAGCCAACATAACTTCCTCATCTGCCTTCACTTTCTTCAGACTGCTCAGGGCTAAAAGTATCGTGGCTTTGAGAATGTTCTTGCTTGTTTTATTTCCCCTCCCCAGTCTTTTTTCCTGCTTCCAAAATATAGTCCCTTATTCAAGTGGAATAAGCAGGTTAACCTGAACTTAGTTGTTGAAAGTTGAAGAGGGCACTTTATACCATTTAAAATACCTCAGAAGTTGAGTGCCTTCACTAAAATAGGGATTTGGTGAGTGTTGTCTGACTTGTATCTCTAGCTGGCTAACCATAATTTTATGATCCAAACCACATACAAGTGGTTTGGGGTTGAGTTAGTGGACTACAAAATTTAAGACGTTATGGCCCACTGGTTGCTACTTCTGGGTTGAGGGCTTTAAAACACTTCCTAAGCACAAACTTAATGTAAAGGTAACTGGAGGGTAATACAGGTTTCCATTTCTTTACTTTAAAGTGACATTGGTTTAGAGGCCATAAGGAAATTATGCTGCATTGTTCTGGTAATTTGTTCTGTATATAACGATATAGACACCATGCACATGTGAGTAGAGGGGGAAAAATAATTTCCCTAGAAAGTATTTATTCAATGAAAAATTTTACACCCACCTAAATATTAATTTTTAAATGAATGATGCAATGTAACGAGAAGAAACTGAGTAGAAAAGCATGCAGCTTTCTTGCATCCCTTATAAGATTCTTGGTCAGTTTTAATTGGAATTGAGTTTATGCCTTTCTCCAGTGCAACATGAAAATAGCACTAATATAGTGACTGCGACCTGCTGTTCTCAGCAGTGACTTTGGGGGAAGCTGCTTAAACTTACTGCAAACAAAGAGGAGAAGCTTATTACAAATGAAACTTCTTGTCACAAGTCTGGAGGAAGCATTACCTCTTTAGGAAGAACTATGTGCTAGTTCTAAATAAACTAGTTCAAAATAGATTGCTGACTGGTTTATTATTGCAGATTTGGGACTGGCAATTGGAAATATTCCAAATTAAAGTTGCTTGCAACTAAAATGTTCATATTCTTTTGCAGTATAGAGGAGTCTCTGACCAGCTGGGGTGAGATAAAGCTTTCTTCTTATGAAGAGGAAAAACATTTTTTTCATTATAAACAACAGATTTGTTCCCAGGATTTTCTTGGTTTTTTTGGAGGTAAATCACAATTGACCCATATTGATGGGTGGAGTTAGCTATGCATTATGCCTATATTGAAGGTGAAAATGATACTTCAGTTTAACCTGCAATAGTGACTGTTGGTTGGATGGAGGAAAGAAAAATTTCCAAACCAATTTGATTGGAGGAATAACTAAAACTAATAGTGTTCATGGGACTTTTTTTAGAAGGACAGTCTACAAGTATCCTGTAGCCATTAGCAGAAAATCCTGGGGCTAGCAAGATGAGACTAATTTGCTGAAAGGTCAGATGACAAAATGTTAAACATTGTATTTTCTTCTCAGTAGTAATACAGTCAGCATAACTAGTATATTCTCAGCTTGCTCCCAGGACAGCATGATATTTAAAAAAAAAAAAAAAAAAAAAAAATCCTGACCGAAGGATGGAACTGCTCTGTGTAATGAATAGGCCAGTGGTAGAATGACTGTTGCGAATACGGTAAATGAAGTCAATTTTAGGGGGCTGGATACTTGAGAAACACCTCTTGGCTTCTATCTTCCAGTAATTGTTGGAAAATTAATGAATTTTAAATGGGTTATCTACCCTTATTAGTAATGAAGGCTATATGCTTAAACACAGAGGTAGCTAAAAGAGCTTAAAACAACATTGCATAATACACTTCTAAAAACCTCCTGTATGGTGAAGCATAGGGGATTTGAATGCAACTTTTTCCTCCTTACAGACTTCAGGTTAAGTGGAAGAATGCTGCTGATTGTGAAAGCAAAGCATATGTATTTAATTGTGATTGTCTCCTGGAACAGAAGACTAAAGCAGTTACCTTATTCTACTTAGAACAATGCAGACTTGCTCTTTAGCTTCCGGAAACACCTTGAAATGTTTTTCTCCCTTGCTACTACAAGTCTGTTTTCTTGACTTCCCTGAGCAATAACCACAAATGAGTGCATTGGCTAAGGGAATGCCATGACTGGTATACAGAATCTTAATATTGCAATATGGATATCTCACAGAAGTAATTGGAGACTCTAAGCTTGAGTATTCACTGAACATAAATACTATTTTCTGATGTAGCAAGAGCTGAACCTCTGAGGGAGTTGGTGCCTTAATGTTCTAGAACAACAGAGTGCTTCTTGGATTGTCTTACTGTTGTCTGTAGAATAGATGCTTAAATTCCGTATCTCCTGGACAGAATCAACACTTGTGCATCTTTAAGTATCATTCTGAATGCTATTAAGAATGAAGGTTTACAGTTTCTGCTTTTGATTGTTTATCTATTGTGCACAACAAAATACAGACTTTTATTGAATCTGTCTTAGAACTGTTTTCTCTTAGTTAAAATTCTTTGTTCCGTTTCCTGTCCTTGAAAAACTTGGCAGAACTAATTGCTACTATGCAACTAGGAAGTTTCCCTTCTATTTTTATCTTTCACAGAAATCCTGATGATAACAAATGAAGGGATGGGGCTGGGAGAAGAGGAATCTTCTGATCTCTCTCCTCCCCTTTTTTTTATACTCTTAAGTTTTCATCCTTACATAATCAACACCATCACCTAATTTCAGGCTATCAGATGTGTTCTTTTTGAAAAACTGTGGTAAGACATGGGACTACACTTCAGGATGATAAAGGAAAATGAACTAAGCAAAGTTGCTTAAACTTTCCAGTCAGGTATTGATAACGGGATGCCTAGCAGTAGGTGAAGTCTAGTGATTTTTAATGCAGTTTCATTTGCAAAGCAATTTAGAATCGTATTTTCTCAGATACTAAAGTACTGGATTCCAAGAACGCTCTCAGGGTGAGGAGTGGAGGGAGGCAGAGACTGGAGCATTGACTTGCACCTGTTTGAACAACAAAATCTAGGAATGACTTGGAAGAAGCACTTATGCTACTGTGTGGCAGCCTAGTCTGTTCCTACTAATAACTAGGAAAGAATTAGGGACAGCATGAGTACTTGATTAGTTTGAGCATGCAGTACATAATCCCACGGGCATGCTTACACTGGTAATAGTTGGTAAGTCGAAGCTAACTTACTCTTGAAAAACAGGCTAAGCCCCTTAACACAGAAGTAGCTATAGTATTAACTGTAGCACACATGGTTGTGCAGTAACTTGCACAATATTTGGTGTGAATGCTTTTCTCTGGAGGCTGTATTGTGATGCTGTTTGCTATTTACATGATGCAGTGACTTGCAGTTGCCGTTCACCTTTGCACTTGAAGCAGCAGTGCACCATCTAACTGTTAACTGAAAAAAAGAATGAGAAGTGCATCCTAAAGCAATGGAGAGTTGGAGTAAGTGAAATAGGTCTGAAATGAATGGATTATAATAATTAGGGTAACATTTTCTACATCAGTAACTCCCAAACTAAAAGTTCCAAGTATAATTTGGCATGGAAATAAAACTGCTTTACACTGTCATCAGCTGTAGTGAGCCAAGCCCAGTGTGTTGGGAGGAAGGAAAACTGAGAAACTTCTCTCCTATACTAATAGACTAATTGCAATGTAGAAATGTGCAGAATAGCGTTCTGCTGGATGGACTTGTACATAGCTACTGGCTCCTGTAACCAAAAAGGTGTGAGACTAAGCCAGTCTGCTCTGAAATAAATTTGGATAATCCAGGACTAACTCAGAGCCATTCAGTATCTTGCATAGTATTTTCTCTTGCTTTCCAGCATTTTTGGTAGCCGTTTTAACTGCAAGGTAGTGAAGGAGCCTAGCAATTAGTAACTGAAAGGTTTCTTAAATTTACTAGTGACTACATAAATGAGAGATGCTGACTTACTATCTTAAATGCTTTCAAAAGCAGAGGTACTCTTTTTCCTTTAATAGCAATGTGAACGAAATCATTTTTCAACTCTTCCATTGCTGATCTTCCCTTAACCTATTGTACCATCTTTTCTTGGTTATGTATTTATGTTGAATAGATGAAGGACTCCTGATAAAACAGCTGTCAGAGAAACTTGAAGGGAAAAAGTATGTCTGAGCACAGAGATTTCTAGTAAAAAAGACCACAACAGTACTGCAGACTGCATACATATTGACTATAGACCCCTCTCTGTACTTGTCTGAGTTGGTGAGTTGTTCCCTTTTGGTGCAAGTGGGAAATATGCTAAATAAGACAGCATTCACAGAACAAAGCCCTGTATGCATGGCAAATCTGTAGGAAAAAATATTTCAAACACGATTTAGGTGTCAAGTGGAATAAACTGAGCCTAAAATAAGTCTGGGGCCTTAACCTAGTCACTGACACATTTCTACATGTCATAACCTGTGGAGTACACCAGTATAAAGCTGAGCAGATTTTAGTGGCTGTGCAGGGCCTTGCAGTGATGGTGACATTCCGGTTATCTTCTTAAAATATTTCCCTAGTTGTCTTGCAAAACAAAGTAGCTAGGAAAGACATTATCCTGCTGACAGCTACTCCTTACAGGAAACTAGCATTTTTTGTTTTCTATGAGGTACACCTGGAACAGGGGTTCTTAGGTAAAACTAGTTTCCCATTTAACGACAGATCACATTCAACCTTTGTGTAAGGAGCTGATGTCCCTTAAAGCACTACTTTGCAAGAAGTATTATTATGTAAGAATTAAGTTAAATCAACAGGGACAGGAAACTAGATAACCCTTCTAAGCATACTATAAAAGAACAATTGCTTATGTTGAGAATTTAGATAGGTAGTACAGTGGCCACCTCACTTTTTTTTATAACTGTAAATCCAGTAATTTTAAGTTCATTGCCTAAATGTCTTTCCTGCCTCATGTAGGAAAGCATAGGTCTAGAACAGTAATACGTAAAATTACCTGTAAGTAGCCTCAGAGATGCATCCGTTCTTATCTTACCAAGAAAGGCACTTAGTACAGCTCCACTTCATACTGTTCTGAGCGTGCAGTACATACTAACTGAATTGCTACAAGGCTGACATACCACTATGCATTGTCAAAAAAGTTGCTACCAGCAACTGATGGAACAAAGCATCTAAAGCAATGGCTTCAACAATGATAACTTAGTACTACTTGTTAAGTGACAACAGCAGCAGTTGCACCAAATAACTGTAAACACTTTCAAAAAGCTTTACTAAAATGGACTAATACATTTTCCTTTTCAGTACTTGTAACATAATTGCATACACTTTAGCTCTTGCTGGGTGCTTTTAGTAATAAGGTAGCAGCAATAAGGTGATGATTAAGACCTTCAACATAGCTGTGTACACAGACTCAGTGCAAGGATATTATCTTTTCCAGCAAAATACATTTTTATAAAATACAGTGAATATGAAACCTCATTTTTTTTTATTAGATACAGCTCAGGCAGAAGGGGAATGTAGTGCAATTGTTGCTTATGGGAAAAGAAAGCCTGTGAAGTACAGTGTGAATAAAGATAAATGCTCAAAACATGATCTGTTTACTAGAAGCAGTTAATAAAACAGCCATAACAAACTTACACAGGTTAAGAACTATAACATCTTTGAAAGCTCTTCTCTGTAGTGTGCTGACAGCAAGACAAATGATGATGTTTTGGATCTGCTTTGGTAGCAGACTTCAGTGTGCTAACATAGAAAAACGTTTCCAGAAGTAATCCTATTATAAAGCAGTAAGCTTCCTCACAAAGAGGAACTGGCAACTTCAAAACACTCATTCTCTTTTCTGTCGAAGAAAGGGCCCTGACAAAGGAGAATAAGTAGTGTGTTAAAAGCTATGAGGGCAAGGAATCTTAAACCAGCTGCTGGCGGGTTCATCAGTTCAATACCCCTGTTCTCTACTTCAAGTTTATTTGATGTTGCCTTAGCTTAGCAGACTGTATCAGACTACTAGAGAGGACAGTATGATCAACCTCCTTAATTGGTCTTGGTTTAAGTCACTGCAGCAGGTGCTTCAGTCACTAACTCTTCTTTCCAGTAATACACAGGGTCAGAAAAATGATCATGCAAACTTCTTCTTTGTAGCTGTAAACCGCTCCATGTACTATAAAAGAAAAAGTTTTAAGATTCTGAAGTTAATGCAAGATTCATTACTACTGCAAGCAGCTAAGCTTCTGGTCTCAGAGTCAAAAGTGCTCTGCATCTACAGCATTATTTATTATTTGGCAGATGCAACCATTAGAGCGTTAATTAAAAAAAAAATCTTAGAGCAAATTACTGTAATTCAGATTGCTATTGCAGAAAGTCCTCACAGTGCAGAACAGTTATGTGAAGTGTTAAGGATGAAATAACATTAAACAGCTAAGACCAGTGTGATAGGAAGCATCCCTTACTTTCTTTTTATCCTGCTTTTCTATACTGTCAAAGGGGTTTACTACTTGTACACACACCTGTCATCATTACCTACCCCTCATAAGATGCTGATGGAAGAACACTGATCCTGAATCCTATACGAAAGTTCATCTTTAAAGAATTCTTGAAGTTCTTTTCAGAGGTTAGTTAAGAATCCAGTACTAGTGACAACACCAGCAGACTGTGCTTTTACTCACCAGCATAGCAGCTCTTAAAGGTACAGGGTAGGGCGTTTACAGGAAGCTTCTTTGTAAAAGAAAAAAAAAAGAATACACAAACCTTGTCATAACCTTCCAGTTCTCTGAGTTTCTTGATTTCAAAGAGGTTGCCTTCTACTGCAAGCAGTGAGATCTGGGAATCACTGAGGATACTCCGAGGAAGCATGCTGAGTTCTAGACAGTTTTCTTCTAAACGCAAGACTTTGAGGCGTGGACAGTGGGAGATCTGCACTGAGATCTGGGATATCTGATACAAATCAAAGAGTAAAAGTGAAACAGGATTAGTGTTAGTGATCCATCATTATTTAAAGCGGGCTGTGTTTCAGACTAACGTGGAACAATCACCGTTCTGTAAATATTAACTACACTAACAACTTAACGACAACGTGTAAATAACAGCAACGGTCAAAAAATCCAAGCAACTTTTTTTTGTTCTTCCATGATGATGGGCAACCTACGCATTTGTTTAACTGATAAATCCTGAAGTTAACTGTAGAAAAAATAATTCAAACACTTGTTGAGTAGGAACCTGATCGTCAAATCAGGCCATTGAAGATACGACAGTGTGTGAATTTCTGTTGCATGCAGGAGATACCTCTTCTACCTATAAAGTGCTGATGGTCTCATCTTATGTCCTGGGGACAGAACTCCAAGACAAACAATCATGTCCTAAATCCTATAACATCTTTGTTACCAGACCTGGTTCTGATTCAAATTGAGTTCAATAGCCTGCAATTCTCCCACAGTGTCAGGCACGCTTTGGATCTGGTTTTTGGAAAGATCTACCACATCCAAGTGGCGAAGACCACACAGTTGTGTAGGTACAGTCCGGAGCTGGTTTCCAGAAAGGCTCAGGGTTTTAAGAGCTGAAAGTTGTCCAAATGCAGCTGGTAGCTGCCTCAAGTGATTGCCATTCAAGTGCAGCGTTTCCAGTTTTTTCAATTTACACAGCTCTTCAGGTAAAGCAGCTAGAAATAAATCACAGAACAAAGAAATTACCTAAATGGATAAAAACGTTTACTGTTTTTAAGGCAAATAAGCTTCCACATGGAAAACATAGAGTTATATTACAGTAATTTCTCACAGGATCCCTCTGAGTTTTCCAATGAAGGCACGGGTTCCTGCACAGCAAACTTAAACGCACTGACAACAGATGCTTTTTAACCATCTTCCATAAATATGTTAAAAATAATCTGCAAACAAGGTGGGCCTTCAAACTACAGGCTGAAGACGCTACTCTGCTCTGAGAGAATTTTAGACTATCAATCAGTTACACTCTTTACTAACCACTTGGCCCATGTATCCTATAACGTTTGAAGTACCAGACAGTTCACAGCTTCAGAGGTCTGCTGCAGCCCTTCAAAGGTATTATTAAACTTACTCAAAAGTAAGCTCTCAGATAATTCATACCGTATCATACCAGCAGATAAGCCTCACCAGGTAAGGTCTGGTAGGGTTCATTCAACCCTCATTCTGTCTACACTCTTTTATAACCTGTAGCTCTTCTGAATTGCACTACAGAAGCAGAGAGGTTTGTAAATTATGTTTGTTAAAAAAGAAAGAAAAAGCAGATAGTGCACAATTACACACACAAAAATACAGACAGTTTCTTCAGCTCAACCTAATTTTCCATACACAGGCAAGAATTTTATTAGTCATCCAAAAGACAGCATCTCTCATAGCTCAGAGTATCTAAATTTCATTGAACTTCCACAGGATGCGCCCAACAGAAACAGTACAACCACTGAATGGCCAGCAATATTTTCCACAGATCATCTTTACCTGTTCTCTGTGCAAGTACTAAGCCATCTGAAGCTGTTAAACTTGCAGAGCAGGCAAGTCACAGCACAGAAACCATATGGTTTTAAGTACTTATATGACATTGTAAAACTGATAATACAATTAAGTTGGCTATTTCTGATGAATTTATGGGTTTTTTTTTTTTCTTCCTGTACACGATTCCAAAGATTTCAGTTTAGGTGACTAAACTTCCCATTTACATCCAGTCAGAGTTAAAGCATTAAATTTAGTTTCTGATCAGAGAAGTCAGCTTATTATTTTAAAAATCTCTGGAGATATTAATTAGCAGGCATACTCAGTTTGTTGTTGTTTAGAACAAGGCTCTTCAGAAAGGAAAACTTTCCTATCAGTGGCGGTAAGATCTCCATTTTATTGTTTGACAAGTCTATTGTCCTTAGGTTGCTTGTTAGCTTCTGCAGATCTTCAGGAAACTAGTGGAGGGAAAAAGATACTGCATTAAAATAGTTGATACAACTTCAAATGTTCAAGGCACAGAGCTTTGAAATTTTAACTGATATATGAATCATTAAATTGGCCTACACAATATCCAGTCATCACAGTATGCAATTAAGTCGACAAATTCACTAATATAGATATATATATTTAATATTTTTCATCCAAGTATTAAATGGCAAAATAGAGGAAAAAGAGACATAAGGGAGACAGTCCACCATCTAGGAAGAGTGCTTTTTAATCCAAATAATTTAAATTAAAAAAGGAGAATAAAGTACACCATGATGCAAGCTTGGTCATGTTTTAGTTCTCTTCTGTGTTTCTCTTAAAAATGCCTATTAAAATCCTCTACAGCTAGTTAACTACTTCCCTATATTTTAGCACAGTAGGATTGGGGGAAAAAAAAAATCTTTAAATTTTTTCTTTTCAAATAATTATGTAAACCACTTCCCTTATTCTTGCCTACTATACTCGCCTACTCCATCAACTTCCAATCTCAGCAGTGTAATCTGCATTTGGCATTGACTTGAGAAAAAAAAAAAAGACAATGATCAAATGACCATCAGCAAGTCCTAGTCAATAGACCAGTGGTTTTGATTCTCCCTTACTCTAGTAGAGAAAAAAAGAAGAGAGAAGGTAGAATAATGGAAGGAGATACTTTAATCATGGAAAATTACTGCAGTTGAGTTATTCTGGCTATCCTAAGAAACTAGACTTACAGCTCCAGTACATTCTGCGTTTTTCTGTGATGGGGTCAAAGTCAGGATAATTTCGAAAACATTTGAACTCCGATACTTGCAGCCATGTGAATAGCTTGTATTGGCTATCCATATGATTATGATTAAACACAGCATAAGTATCTAAATGCCACAGATTGTGGAGTATCTTTCTAGGTAACAATACAGCTAAAAATTTACTTCTTTTCCCTATTAAGTTTACAGTTTTCTGAGTTGAGCCATATTTTAAAAGCGCAACAAATGCATAGTAACTAGTAAACATGCTTCTTGAGCATACATTCATTCTAAAGTATAAGATCAGAAGCAAGCAAATGCTCAGTTAGAAGACAGCACAAGCAAAAATCTGCTCTGTAAAAAGAAGAGAATAACTTGCTGAAAACAATATGAGACATTTATAAGAAATGCATGCATTTAGTGCATTATAAGCATGAAGTGCGGATCCCTCTCCAAAAGCGTCAGTAACATACACAAGCAGCTACGTTTACACTACAGTTCTATTACCTCTGTAAGTCCCTTTCCGGTTAGCTGAAACACACCAGTTTTCTGTGCTGTCTCCAGGTGGGCTTTCAATGCGCTATTTCCCATCGTGACAGTTCTTTGTGAAGTATACAGAATTTGAGTGATAATCTCGGCCACTCTCTTTCAGTTATTCTATATTGGAGGACAGCAACCCAAATTCTCTGTCATAAAAGCAGATGTAAACAGCAATTTGCACATAGCGTCTTCAACATTACGGGCATCTGGACACACTGAGCAGTGTATGCAATGTTTCAGTAATGCATTTTAATCTCCCTAATAACTGAAATCTAAAACTTACACAGGCTAACCCAACCGATTAAGATGCCTTCCTTATAGCAACCTGGGCACTGAATTAACTCAACCAATAGCATCATCAAAACTAAGTGAAACACTGCATACTTTCCATATTTCTCCTCTTTCACAGAACAGTAGCACAAGGCAACCGCGGACACTCTTAAATTATTTTAATGCCGTCAGTCTACAAGCACAGCGCTGCTTTTAATACTATGCTTGTGTTTACTTACTTCTTTTTTTTTTGGGGGGGGGATATTTATTTAAAGACTTGACTCCTTTGTTCTGATTCTAGAAGCAGATACCCAGCGCCTGCAGCTCCAGCAGAGTTTAATCCCCTGAAGAAATTACGCTGAGCTACCGGACCAGAGGATTAGCGTCAGATCTGCCGGAGCCGGAGAAGGCGGAGAACCAAACCTAACGCAGAACGCCAGGAGCCTGCAACACGGGGCCCGGCGTTAACAACCGCTCCTTGCTGCCAAGGCCGAAAGGGAGCCAACGGCGGGCCACGGCCCACCCCCCCC